GTTACTACGGCTTAAAAGTTCATACGAACGCACGTCGGAGATATATATATTGTAAGATTTTACGCCAGTAACTAACAGCGTAATTTCATCCAGTCGATATATTATATACTGTAGGATTTTACGCCGTTAGTTGATGGCTTAAAATCTTACAGTATGTACACCGACGCAGATAGTGACGTAAAATCGTACAGTCTACAGACTGTGTTAATCGCATATTACGCCGTTATCTAACTACCGGAATTAATGCAATATCCATTCCGGATCACTCAAGGTTTCTGGTAAACCAGACCAAAAACTCTCGATCTAAAACGACCACGATACCTCGTTTTCCCACTCTGCGACAAACGAGGCTCGATTACGCAATCGAGCCTCGATTTTCCAATCGAGCTTCCTTCAATCGAGCCTCGATTTTCCAATCGAGCCTCCATTTTCCAATCGAGCCTCCATTTTCCAATCGAGCCTCCATTTTCCAATCGAGCCTCGATTTTTCAATCGAGCCTCGTTTCTTTAATCGAGGCTCGTTTCTTCACCCGAGGCTTGTTTTTAAGAAAGAAAGAAAGAAAGAAAGAAAGAAAGAAAGAAAAAAAGGAAGGAAGGAAAGAAGGAAGGAGGGAAGGAAGAAAGAAAGAAAGGAAGAATGGAGGGAAGAAAGAAAGAAAGAGAAAAAGAATACTGCAAATTAAAAAATTAATAATTTAAACCCATATGCTTTTGTAAGGGCAAACTTAGAATCCCTTACATTGTGTGGTTGACAGTATGCACCAAGCAGCAATAAATAAATAAATAAATAAATTGATAAATAAAAACAAGAAAAATAACGAGAAAATGACAAAAAAGAAAATGTAAAAACACCAGGATTAATGAGAGTTTTTATCGTGGGCGCAACAGGTTATTTTCGGCACCTTTGAAAAAAGGTATAGTCTGCCTTTAGAAGACTGTAAGCATTCCCTCTTCGTTTAAGAAAAAGCGAAAAGAAAAATAGAGGAACGAAAAATTGGCCTGGCAGCGAATCTGGGTTTCTGGGCGGTCATTAATAACACGCGCTTTTTTTTCACAGTTTAGGTATATTTGAGTGATTCAGTTTTCGTTCATCTTTCCTTCCTTCAATAATTATTATCAAAGTTTATTTCATATAATATATATACAAACTGGAATTTATATTATTTTAAGAACTTAACTAACCCGTGAGGCCCTAAGTCTAGCAATCATAGAAATCCATTTACAACGCCGTAAAAAAAATTGAAAGTTTCTATCGTAGATAGAGCGTGTCATTTGTAGCACAGACTAAGAAGAAAAAAAAAGTCAGGGTCTAGCTTTAACAGACCAGAGAGCATAAAATAGCGTTAGTTTTGGTGGAATTTGGGTACTCCCACTTCTTCGAAGAAAAAGCGGCAAAAGAAATCACATTAAGAAAATTAGCAGCTAGTGAGGCTGACGCGGACCTACAATTAACCAATAAAATATAATATAGCAAATAAAACAATTTACCCTATTATATTGAAATATACAATTGATCAAAAATAAATCAAGCATCATCTCTATAAAATAAAGTACATTGACAAAATAAAATTAGAAACTTTGGTACAATATAATAAATATTTATAGTATCTAATAATAAGCAAACTCGCTTTCCTTATTCTTTATAATCATAGCCTCCTTTTCGAACGATAAATTATGGATATGAAATGCGGATGTTCTTAAGATGTTTTTCAAGTTAACTATGCTGACTCCAGAAAGCTCAACTTTGGTATCTATTAAGTTCCATCGGCAGTTACCTAGTCCTGGTTATTTTTCTGTCTCAGTTTATGTGAGATTTAGTTTTCGTTCGCATTTTTCATCCCTACATCGATCATCATCAGAGTGACCTACATTCATCTATTTTTAACAGTACGATTTCGTTATGTTCGCAGTCTAAATGAAAGAAGGATCAAACAACTGACATGTAACATTTATTTTGGCAAAAACTTGTTTTATTTTTATTCTCAATATTTTGATTTTGCAGCGTAAAGAGCCTTTTGTAATGTTTGCTTTCGAAAACAGTATGTTTTAATAAATAAAGCTTTAGTTATTATTACCTATTGTGTTTGCAGACTTGTGCTCTTTTCCCTTGAGTCTTTGGGCTTTTCCAATTCATTGATTCAGCAACGTGCCGCCAAAGTGCCTTTTGTACTATTTATTTTTGAAGACAGTGATTTTTAATAAATAAAGCCTTTGTTATTGTCACCTATTGTGTTTGCAGACTTGTGTTCTTTTCCCTCGAGTCTTTAGGCTTTAGTTTCTCGTAATTCGGCGAGGCTTCAGCCATAGGTACTCAAACATGTCAAATTGATTCAATTAAACTGTGAAAAAATACCGATTGATGATATAAACTGTTAAGCTAATATCGTTGCATTCTAGTTTTCTGTATGTCGTCTGACTTTTGTTTCCTGTCCCCGCGATGGTCTTTAAGAATTCCTGTTGGGAATATTTTAAAATTCTGTCGTTTGGTTTGGTTAAACAAATCTCGTTAAGGCACAACTTTCAAGTACCATTTTGATCCGAGAAATCCACACCGTGTCGGGAATGGACAAAAGACCATTTTTTATCCACCCCTTAGAAAAAAGAAGAGCCCATTCTTTCGAGAAGGATTCTCTACAACGGAGGCTTTGAAATACGTTTTTTGAAAAATTGAAAAGATTATGATGATCACGTGTCCCTCCATTCCAAAGGAAAAAATTGTGCGCGTCTGGTCTCCGCGCAGATTCACTATATTGAAAGGCAGTTTTATTTGTATAATCCTCACGTTTGCTCGTGACTTGCAATCGTAAGGGTTTGCGGCCTCTTTTAGTTGTCTGTTTTTTTTTTTTTTTGCAGCGTGCCGCCCAAGAGCCTTTTGTAATATTTGTTTTTGAAAACAATTATTTTTCAATAAATAAAGCTTTAGTTATTATTACCTATTGTGTTTGCAGACTCATGTCCTTTTCCCTCGAGTCTTTGGGCTCAAGCAGAATCCTTTTTTAGCAACGAGCCGCTAAAGTGCCTTTTGTGATAATTATTATTTTTTAAGACAGTTTTTTAATTGATAAAGCCTTCGCTATTGTTACCTGTGGTGTTTGCAGAATCGAGTTCTTTTCCCTCGAGTCTTTAGACTTTTCCCTTTTGTGATATTTATTTTTGAAAAGAGCATTTTTGATTAATTAAAACCCTTTATTATTGCTTGTTGTGTTTGCAAACCCATGTTCTCAGTTCCTTTGAGGATTAGGCTATATTAAACACAAGTCGTTTTCAATTGATTGATTTAGCATTGTGTAACGAAAGTGCCTTCTTAACTTAAGCATTGATTGCCCAATTCCGACCGCTCTAAAGACCTATTTTCCTGTGTGTTCTGTAGAGTTAAAGTGGGTAAAGTGAAGTGAACGGATATTTTATCGTTGAAAGTTACTCTCCTTTTCTGTGGTATTTGCTAATATGTCTGGATTGAGCCACTTCAACTGCGAGCTTTTACCCGATGCTAACACAGACGACCATTTAATTTGCCCAATATGGTAAGGTTTACTTTTATTGATTAGTTAACGTATTGTCTTTCAAAACTTGTCTCGGTCATAAGTTTTTTTAGTTTATTTGCCCTTTAATCTACCGGGCCATACGAGGCTGAATTGTTACCGCGAGTTCCATGAACGAGTTAAACTTTAGTGAGAACAGCAGCAACCTACCATCACTTAATTCTACACTGTAGTTCTCTTAAGTGATCGCCATGACATAAGCATAAGCCGACATAAGGACAATAACAAGAGCTAAAAATGTTCTTCTTGTGCTTAGGCTATGCTTGCCTTTCGGAAATCGTAAGAACATAAGAGAAATAAGCGTTTGTTCTTCTTTGTGCCTCTGCGCTAGTCAAAAGTAGCCCTAACTCTCAACAACCGTCCCTTTTGAGATCATTCAATTCTCGTTAAGGTTCCGTACGAGCAAGTTTGCCCATGTGAGTTGTCACTGGACGTCGAGGCTTTGCTTGTGCGTGCTAAGGAGAATTGTGAACTTTTTCTTGTGTAGACCTGTCGAGCTTCATTGCGAAAGAAAAAAGAAAAACTGACGACAAGGGAAGAGTCAGTTTAACTCCAAGTTCGGCAAAAAAGAGAATACAGATCAATCGCTAAGAAGCCCTTCCAAAACAAGGGAAATTTATGGCGACTGCGTCCTGACCTCAAAACTCTAGCGACTTAGTTCAATGCGTGCGGTGCAAAGTATTTAGCGGAAGTGCATAAGAATTCCTATTCAAACCGTAATAAGAGTTTGAACAATTGACAGTTCACATTCTCTTTTGGCTTGTTAACTTGACAATGGTTCGTAGCTCATTTACGATTAAAATTGATCAGTTTGTTTTTTTTCCCTGGCGCTCACTACCGATTCCTTTTCCGAAAGCTTTTACCTTTAGTCCGGGTTAAGTTAAAAGACGCAGTAACCAAAGAGGCGCCGATCTAAATTGTGCCATAAAGGCGGAAAAATTCATTTCCTTGGCTCGTAAAAGTGTTACTTACATAAAAACAAACACTTCTCTGTCCATCATGAAACACTTAGCCCGGTGTTCTTTCCAGTCTAACCATATCTTGGAATTTTTACTCTGTTAATTTTAGTCGCGGGTCTGGTTGCTCAAGGCAGATTTATCATTACTTTTAGGGAGAATTTTGATCATCTTTTGTTAAATTCATGAAGTATCCAGCAAACATCTTGTGTTCTTCTGATTTTTGTCCTGCTTTCATATTGGGTTAGTGCTAGTCGGTTATCAAAAGACGCGATTCGGCTGATTACGGCAGCCAACGCTTGCGCTCATGTTTAGGTTTTTTGCATTTATGCGTGGGTCCCTGTTGCGGGGTATACGCTACGTGCTACCCTAGACGGGATCTGATGCCAGTTGTGTGTTTATAAATCTTTACGTGGATCGAAAGCTGTAAAATGAGTTCAAATATTTTTTGCCCACTTGCCACTGTTGATGGAATCGCGTTCTATTTTTTAGCAAGGAGCTGATGAACAGACCCGTGTCCTTATTGTGCGGACACAGTGGATGCCAAGAATGTATACATCAGCTTATTTCAAATCAATCCGGAGGTGGACGGGAAAAGGCGTGTGCAGTATGTCGGGAGCCAATCAACGAACACATGTTGAACATCAGCATACCCCTCAGTTCAGTCATTTCCAAATTGAATGTGAAATGCACAAACGTTGGCTGCGCGTGGGTCGGTGAGCATGGTTCTAAGGAGAGACATCAAGAGACCTGCTCATTCCTCCTTCTGGAATGCCCCAATGGCTGTCCTGGATCGCATTTGCGAGATTCACTTGAGCGTCACTTGGAGATCTGCCCTCAAGGGAAAGTACCTTGCAAGTACTGCACTGCTGAGGTGGAGAGGTATATACTAGATCAGCATGAACCAACCTGTCAAGAAAAGCCCGGACCATGTCCATTAAATTGTGGCCAGAATTTGCCCAGGTCAGTTATCATTCAGTTATCGCCATGAATTAATTCACAAAATTTTGTCATCATTTTGTTAAAGAAAAGAGCATGGAAAAAAAATCAATCAAAAGGACCAAAACCCGGTTTTGCCCCAGTAGTGAAGCGCCGTTAAGGTAAAACTTGTTAAAAATTTTTTTGGCCTCTTCAAGGGTTAACCCGGTAATAGTGATAAAATTCCCAAAGAAGCCCGATAACGTAAGATCCATGTGTGTCTATTTCAGGTCCCATGTTCACCTTCATTTGGACGAATGTCCTAAAAGAATGATGAAATGCAGCGTGGCCGGTTGTAACAATTTCTACCAGTTAGGGATGGAAAATGCCCACAACGAACTTTATCAAGGAAGCCACCAGGCGCTACTTAAGAGTCAAGTTGAAAGTCTTCAGCGCGCGATTTATGACAAGGTTTGTTGATCTCATTTAGGAGACTCGTTTTCAAGTATAACAATTGAGACACTTTTCATTGAGTTAGAATTTCGATGTTTTCGTTTTTATTTGCTTTTGTTTCTTACTTTCAATAATAATAATAATAATAATAATATTATCGTTATTTTTCTAAATATTGTTATTATTATTATTTGCAGTCTCAAGTTGCCGTGAAAAGGGAGTTTTCTAAGCGAAAGTGCTACCGGTGGACAGTGCCGAAGTCGTCAATCCGAATTCCAAAGGATATTTCAAGTCCACTGTTTGGGTTTGAAAGTCACACATTTCGGTGCCTGTGGAAGAGGACCTCTGGCCAAAATAGGCTGTTTCTAAATGCAGTGTTCGGCTCTTCGCCAATCACAGTTCAAACAAGGTATGAAAGTCAAAAGGCACTCCCACCCTGACTGTTATGAAGTGAAATGGTAGTATGGTAAATCAACTTGTCATTCATGAATGCAGAACTTAGCAATGACAGTATAGACATCTTTTAATTTAAATCGTTAATCCAAACCTTCATTTATAACTTTTCACATTTATCGACTGTTTATTTGCGATATTTAAAACAGCATCATTCTATCAAATTCTAAACACTAATTAATCTACCCTTTTCTATCAGATTTGTTTTGTTAAACGAGGACGGAGTAATGAGAGTCTTTGATACCGAATGTGAAACCCTTATGGAGGATCAAATCATTGGGGCAAAGGAAGACTTGGGCCCGATTGAAAAAGAGCAAGATTTAATTATAAAACTAATTATAGCTATCTACAAACATACATAGAATACATTGTAAATTTTCTTCAGTAAAGTTTCTTTTCACTAACTTATTTACGAAGATGCTGTTTCTTTCGTCACGTGTTCAATTCAACTTACAGGGTGGCCAACGCACCACTAATTTTGCTGCCTTTTGTTACAATCGTTTCGTGTAGGTAAAACTGAAATGTCGCGCTGGTTGGTAAAGGGTTACACTCGAAGGTCGCTTTAATGTAACGCCGCTTAACATGAGCTTAGCGCAAATATTTAGCTCGCTTCAGACAATAAAAAATGTCCTCTCATTTCACTAATCTATGTTCTGAGGATTTTTGGGTATTTTTAGATATAGATAGAGATATTTTTTCTCAAAGGATAAGTAAAATTGAGGTAAATAAGAAATGTTGATGATTTGATAAAGTTTTTAAAAATTGGAATTTGGAAAACAGTCCCTACTTACCTGGGGTTAGACTACGAGCAGTCCCTCCTTTTCGGCGAAGTCCGTCGCGCAAGTCAAAAAAGAAAATCGGTGAAAAAAAAAATTGATGGTAGCGCTGTGGGGAACTCTTGGAGTAACTAGCCACATTTTTGACCGCCTCTCTTATAGAACTCCTGCGGCGCAACGGTGTCACTCCAAGGGTTTCAGTGGCGCGCTAGCAGCAATTTTTTTTCATATATTTTTTTTTGGACTCACGCTACGGACTTCGCCTGAATGGAGGGACTGCTGGTAGTCAAACCTGAGCTGCGTTTTTGGTGGGGTCATCTTTCTGGTGGCGTTTAAACCAATTTTTTTTTCTTATCAGCCCCTTCTTCAAAACTTCTTAACTTTTCACTAAAATTCACGTATAGCACGCCTTAAGGAAATGTCAGGAAGCAAATTTGCGGTTGCAGCGCAAATTAAGAAATGCCTATAGACTGATCAAAACTTTCTGGAGGCTAGTCACGAAACAACGTCCATCATTCATTCACTCGCTCACTCTTAAATTCACCATCACATTCAAGAAAAGAGAAAGAGAGAGGGAAAGAAAGAAGGATACATGACGAGCTTTGCACCGGGAAAAAAAATATGGAAATTAGCTGTCTGCACATTCAATGTGCATAAGTAATTCAGCATAGGTTTGGTAACTCTCGGTAGCATGAGGTGTTCGCTAAACACTCCAGGATATCCGATAATCGCCACAAAAAGTAACTAAAGCTTCTCACGGCTGAAATGAAAGAAAACCGCAACTTCCGATACAACACTAATTTGGTCGCACATTTTCCAGAAACAATAGTCCAGGGAAATTTCGGGTCTAATTCGTAATAACCTAAAGGGCGGTTCACTGAGCTCATTTTCTTGGTCATTGCTCTCTTTTCGGATCAGACTACATTGCGTTTGTTTTCTTGTCGGAAACTTCATATAGTGCTATGGACTTGAGTTATTTTACTACTCTAAGGCAGTACCCTGTATCAAGAATGATACGGTGGCTGCAGAATCGTTCGCTTCTAGCGAATCCTCTTCACTGCGGCGCTTGTCACGAGGACATGGTTATGGTTGGGAGAACCGATGGCCACATCGACGGTTATCAATGGTTAGTTGCTGCAATAAGTATATTATATGTGTACCATATATTTTATTTACGGTTTCTCTTTTGGAAGGTCATATTTGGAGCTTTAGTTACGCTATAAAGGAAGGCCGATAAGTGTTACCTTCAAAGTTCGCCTTATTATACTGCTCGGAGTTCAGAAAAACGCTTAATTTTACTTAATGTATGTTTTTGAGAGTTGATTTAGTACAAATGGTCGAAGATTACTTCAAATTCTGCATTACTGGGGCAAAATTTAAACTGATGGAGTAGCATAAAAAATATCACAAGAATTACAAATGGGGTTGGACTGCCTAGGAGTTAAATTTTCACTAAAAGTTGATAACATACCTCGCTTTGGAGGAGGCGCGAGACACGCGAGTTCGTGTGAACTTTGAAAAAATTAACTTACGCAAATATTTCCCTTTCTGTGTCCTCTAAAGGCTTTCGTGCGCGCTTAAGTCCGCTTCTGAATCGTTTCAGAAAAAAAATACTGTTTCAGTACAGGCTCGTAAGAAAAGGCAAAACGAAGGTTTTAAATTATAAAAGTAATTTATAATTTACACTTCGGTTATCTATTCTTTTTTTAACTTAAGGAGATGCAGGACATGCAAGAAAAAGCGAAGTTTAAGGGCCAATAGCTTTTTCGCTGAATTCCCCAAAATTCCTCTGGGGGAAATGATGATGACATTCTATTTTTGGTCCATCGATGAATCACGAACACGAACATCGAGAATGATGACCATGAACAGAAATCTGGTATGCACTATATTCAGACGTTTGGAGGGTGTGTGTTCCCAGGACATCACCGACAACCCGTTCATCCCCTTTGGCGGCCCAGCATTGGTGAAGTGCGATGAAAGCAAATTCAATCATAAGGCGAAGGTTAGTATTACACAATGATAATAATAATAGTAATAATAATAATAGCAATAGTAACAATAACAATGATAGCTACGACAACAACAACAAACAAGCTCATTTCAATAAAAAAAAGAAAAATGCTGTGAATTTGAAGCTGCCTGATATTAAGCACCCAGACTTTAGCAGTGCTAATTATTGCCATATTCTGTAGTACAACAGAGGAAGACGTGCTCCAGACGTGTGGGTATTCGGAGTCATCTCAACAGCTACGAGACCTGCTAGGGGATTTTATGAAGTGGTTGCCAGAAGGGATCACAACACTCTTTTACCGATTCTCGAGAAGTGTCTCCTTCCTGGGAGTGAGGTTATCACGGACGACTGGGGCGCCTATGAAAACCTTGAGCAGCATCTTCCCAATCACGTAGCCCGGCATCGAGTCGTTGTCCACGCCGACAATTTTGTTGATCCAGCGACAGGGGTACACACCCAGGAAGCAGAATCGGCGTGGGCAAATTTGAAGGCTCCTATTAAAGCACGACGTGGCATTTCACGTGATGACGTTCAGACGTATCTCGATGATAGGATGTGGAGGCAATGGCGAGGTCTAGACAATATCATTGGTAATTTTTTGCCTGTCTTAGCCTCACAATATAGGGACTACGTAATTTAAGTTTGTAAATTGAATTGTGAGGCCACGAAATAAATAAATAATAATCACCAATCTCAAAACTCTTTGGAGATTGTTGTGATAGCTGGCTAGCCCCTGAATCGTGAGTGTTTCTTAATTTTTAATTTTCTCATTTTTTTTTACGCCTGTCGCGACCCTACAAAAACGATTTTTAAATTTTTTTTTCTTTTAAAACTGAACCAGTGAGCAGCACTCTGCGAACAGTAGTTATAAAGCTTCTCTAATCTCCGACGTGTTTCTCTTAACTGTCGTGACTTCTTAAAGGAGTTTTACTGGTTAAAACTAGACGCCTGTATTTCTAAGCCATAGTTAGCGGCTATACAGGGACCAGTGACCTTAAATGCTTGGCCGGACATACGATCAGGAACAGGCGAAGTTGTAAAAAAAATTGAAATTTTTTTGGGCAAGGTGAGAAAATATTTTGGGAGCCACGGTTTTAGCAAAAATGATGGCAAAGCAAGCCCAAAACGGCAGAAATCTCAAAAAACCACCGCAGACACGCAAGGGGTGGGTAAGTTTTATCATTCTTACGTGTAAAATGTTTATATTTCGGAATACCGGCTTAGTGTTGTAAATCGACCATATTTCGTTCCCCATTCCTTATAACGCATTCAAATTCTCAACGGTTCATCGCGAACGTAACACCGGGTCATACAACGCGCGACGCTTTCGTGAAATAATCTTGCGCTTTTCCTCGGGACGTAAGCTTAGGACGCCTGCGCACCAACTGTCTTCCTTTTCCAAACCACTTCGGTTTTTAATTCGTTTGTGCAATCGAAATGTAAGTAATAAAAAAAAACTCTGTGAACAGACTCGAACCCCTAACTGGTTTCTTCGCTCATAACCTTTGCTATATACAATAGTGATGTGATAGCGGAAATAGCGTTTTAGTATAATATTCCACTGGCCCCCCCCTCCAACAATGAAGTTGATTGGTATCGGCTTTCTTATTCAGTGTTTTTACCGATTGTAATACAACAATGACTGGTCGATATTTCCACCACCAACCGTCTTCCTTTTCCAAACCACTGCGATTTTTACTTCGTTTGCGCAATCGAAAAGTAAGGAATAAAAAGCTATGTGAATAGACTTAAACCCACATACACAATATTGATGTGATAGCGGAAATAGTCTTTTGGTATAATATCCCACTGGGGGCCCCCCTCCCCCAACAATGAAGTTGATTGATCTCGGTTGTCGTATTCACGTGCCGGACTCATGCTTCTACAGCAGAACAAAGAGGGCCTGTTCGTTTTGATTTCATCGATTAAAGGCTGTTGTTGTGCAAGTTGACTGAACTGACGAAGTGTTATCGAACATGGGAGATTCAGGCGATTCCAGCTCTGCTAGCGATTGCGGGTCACCGCAGCCGAAAGGGAGGTCAACTAATAAAGTATTCGTATGGCTGAAAGAGAAGGCAAAATGTACACCGCGTGGAAATCCGTGGGTACTGCTGAATCGCGAGGGCAGGGTTAAAGACCTCGCAATTCAAGGAAACTATTCGAGTGCAAAGATGAAAGAGCTGGTGAAGGAAAATTTTGCTGGACTTGCGGCAGTTGACTTGAATAGGTAGGATAAGTACCAGAGCACTTAATCTCGCATGCAAGTTGTATGCATTGAATACTGGATGTAAACGGATAAGTTTATAGTAATGTAAAAACCAGGTAAGGCAAAACAATGCAAATTCCAGCCACGCGACGTAGGATTCAAGACAGCCTTTAGTAATTTACCACTTATACTTTAACTATTTGCTAGGGATCATTCATAAAAACTTAAGTATGCGCAGTGGACCTGCTGCGACTGTAAGGCCTGTAAAGGAGTGAAATCTGCTCATAATATACAAAAGCAGCACCTTTTATAACACATGTAATGGTGGGCGGAAAGAATCCGTCTTACAGGAAAAAAAATTCAGACCCACCCCATAGAGCGTCATTTCACGTGTCGTCATCAACATTAAAAAATAAGGAATTATCAATCCTTATGAGATTTTAGTTAAGGTTGTTCATAGAACAGTTGAAGACTTTTCTTTTAACAAATTTCAGTTTTATCGGGTTTTTCGTCTTCTGCTAAAGCAAGGTGGAATTGACTGGTAGCTTCCAACTGCCATATTTGTGACCCTCCCTCGCACGAAACATCGCACAGACCTGAATCTTTGCGAGACTGTTTGAATATTCAGCTTATTTTATCCCTTTGATTCTTGACTTCATCTGTTTAATTGTTTTGATGATGGTTTGACAGTGAAAACCGGCAATTGGTAAAATATTTAAGGAAAGCAGGAGCCTTAACTGGAATTTTCAGATTGGCAGGGCTAACCATTGGAAAAGGGGGAGGAGGCAAAGGGGCAGAGGGGAATATGGACTGGAATAACAGATGTCAAACAAGTCTAGAAACTTATCAATGATCATCTCTATTTATATTTACTACATACTATATTTACAACATAGTGAATTGAAATCCCATTTCATATGTAGCAACTGTAAACTGTATGTGGTGTCAATGTTGGCCCTTTCTTTTCATAGAATTCGTCTATACAAGTCCGCAAACCGAGGAAGCAGAATAGAAAAAGTATACAAATTAGAATTTATGGCAGGGGGAGGGCTAATTCCAGGCGAATATATATGGTTTTGCATCGCCCAAGAAATGGAGGTTTGTGTAATCTTTCATAAGCAATTAGGGGTTTGTGTTGTTGCAGTCAGCTCATAAATGTCCTTGGCCACAAGCAAAAAAAATTGTTGACATTGTGACTTGACTCAGCACAAAAAGATTGCAATGAGTGCATACACATTTATGTAGCACGACTCATGGGTAAAGATAGTAAAGGCCATCTTTGCCAAAGCTTCTAGATAACTGTGCTGCAAAGGCTGTTTTATAGCGAATTTGCATGTTGACATGGATATAAGTGCAGTGGAGTAAAATATATGGCCACAGCACCAAAAAATATCTGTTAGAATTTCAATTACACACTTATACAAAAAAAGTGGAACATGTACATTTTGGAAATAATAGCCTCCTGAAAGTGGGAATGCATTTTCACCACACTTCAAAAAAGAAAACATTCTTTGGCAGACATATGCAACAACATAACCTAATTATTCTGCTGAGAAATTTAAATCTTGATATTATGACTTTTAAATATTAATCCTTTTTTTATTTTTATTACCATGGATTGCACTACAAGTTTAAGAAGGTTCTTTGCCTTTCAAAATTTTCAATATTTATGTCATAGATTTATCAAAGGAAAACTTGCAATAAGCTCATATTTCCACTATTTCACTAATAATTCAAAACACTAATTAAAAATTATTTGTTTCCTTTTTTATCTCAGGATCTAACACTAACCCTCAGTCTATACCAACACCAGGAGTAAGCAATCCCAACCATCCTTCTCCATCTCTTCAAACAAATCCTAATTTTCCAACTCTCCCCTCCTCCTGCTCAGCCCAATTCCAACCCACCCTCCACAAACCAATCCCAACCTTCCCTTCCCCCTGCTCAGCCTGATTCCAACCCACCCTCCACAAACCAATCCCAACCCTCCCTCCCCTCTGCTCAGCCCAATTCCAACCCGCCCTCCACAAACCATTTCCAACCCTCCCTTCCCCCTGCTCAACCTAATTCCAACCCTCCCTTGCTTTCTCGACAATCTAACACTCACCAAAATCCCAGCCAATCTCAAACAAGTGTGACCAATTCAGTCATCCAGCCAGAGACTTCCAGTGGTGCAACAAGTGCGGCAAGTGGTGTTGTTGGTCTGGTGGACTTGACATTGCCTACAAGTGAATGTAAGTGCTTAATTGATTGGCACATTAGTTATTAAGTTTATTAATGATTTATATTTTAATCCTGTATTTGCATCTTGTGTGGAAGCAGTTGACCCATCTGCCGTAGATAATTATCGTGTGATACACCTGAAACTGTGTTGTGTTGTTTTTTGAACAGATGGTGTCATTGCTTTAGATGATGTCAATGACAATGAACTCGACAGAAGCTATTTAGCTAGTAACCCAGTCAATGTTGACTCAGGTAATATGATGATGACTGATTAAAGAACATTTAAATGCTCGTTTTTTTTGCAGACCCCAACCCCAATCCTGATTTGGATTAATCCCTAGGGTGGCAATGGATATTTTCTGAAAACTGCATGTATATTATGCTAGAAATCTAGTTTATTACTGCAGGTAGTTTACATGGATGATTTCCGATTGTATCATAAATTACCATTTAAGAGGCAACTTAATTGTGCACCCTAGGCCAAGCCAAGTTTACACATGAGGTGTGAAGTAAATCAACCAAATTTATGTGAGAAATGAAAGAAATTAATTTTTAAAAAAAGACAAAATTTTTACTCCATGATTTTTTTTTCCCTTTCAACATAGCATGTCATTTAACTGGCATACATCAGTGGCAAAAAGGTATGTTTCTATAAAATGGATTATAAAACACATACACTTTGAAAAACAAATGTTGAATTAACTTCAACATAATTTTAATTACTTAATGTGTTAATTAAAATTCAAGAGATGAACAACTGTGTCTCATGTAAATGGAGAATAGAACATTCTACTATGCTACAGTATGGTGTGATATAGACTGACAGATTGACTCACTCATTCAGTTTCATGGCATAAAGGAATGCACAATAACTAATGTCTTGATATTCATTTAATTTTATGCCACTTCATTCCAGCTGGGATTGTAAAAGAAGACCAAAGTTCTTTGGGAATTCTCAAACAGAATGCTCAAGGTATGTTGGAAATATTGTCAATAATTCAATGCACTTTAATGCACAGCTCTCCCTGGATGATGACAATAGAAAATTTCCACTAGATACAAAATAATATCTTGCCAAAAGCAGCATTCTAGCTTAAAATGCATGACTGAGGCTTCCTTATATCTTATGTTGCTATCTGTTTCATATTTTCAGCTAAATATATTTTGAAAAAGCTTTTATTAATCCCCAGTTCACATTTCACTGTAGACTATAAGCACTGGTAGATTAACTGTTTAAGTACAGACAAAACAGGAATTCAAATCCAAAACTACAATTTTTTTGCCCTTCATTAGGTAAAAGGAAAAACAAAACAAAAACAAAACAAAACAAAACAAAACCAATATAACCGGTGATTATCATTTAATGAGTAACATGTGCAATTGCATTTTACTATTAGTGAAAAGAAAAAAGGAGAAATAGATACCTTTACTTTCATTCACACACTCTTGGCATTAGTTAGCCATAAGCAAACTACAACAAAAGTTTAAAAAAAAAAAAGCTGGGGGGAAGATTCTGGCACAAACATCCTTAATGGATGACAGTCCAATTGAATACCATTACTGTTTGTAAACCACACTCATAATAATTTTTTAGTGCCATTGAATGATATGGACAGAACACAGGAAGTGCTTTCCTGTGAACATGTGCTCATGGAGGCAGCATCAACCCACGAGGACATTCTTCTGCCAATCTTTTTGACCTTGACATATGAGGAGGTTTGTGTTAACTCTTTAACTCTCAGACCAAATTTGTAATTCTCCTTACTGTCAACCATACAATCCTTGTCATGTTAGTTCAGGGAATTTAGTATTGGATCAACTCGTTATTCCCAAATTGATATTTTTCTTTATTCTCATCACTTATCTGGTTGATGCTGTGTTGATATTGTAAGGATAAATTCTGTCTAGGTCACTCATGGGAGTTAAAGGGCGTCATGGCAGTCAATTTAGTTCCTGTTATATGTTTGCCCATATAGCTTGCAATTTTTAGGTAAAATGTTTATAGTAAATACAGTTAGCATACCCATGTGTCAATGTTTTAAATTACTGACAAGTAACATGTATTGACAATCACATTTGAAAAAAAAAATTAGCCTGTAAACTTTTGTGAATCTAAATTGGTCGTTATGTTGGAACAGACCCTTTTGGAAAAATATACTTAGGTTACTGCTTTGCTTAATATGATCAACTTTCATTTCTCTATCTGACATATAATCCTATTCTATGCATTATTACAATGCACTGTGTCGTGCCATTATACAAAAGAAATGACAAGTCAATGTAAAATTTGACATGTTAAGGCTATATGTTAAATTTTATTCTACTTTAATCTATAAAATTTGTGCATCTAGTTGTGTCACCAGGCCAGGTCCGACAGGAGGAGCATGGTCATAGTGATCCTCAAAGGTGACAACATACCTGATGTGATAAGGTGACTATCAATGATTCTTAAGGTTATTTTTATTACTAAAAGCACGCTGCACTCTACTAAAACAGCCTTTTTGCTTACACCGAGTCACCATGACAAATATGTACATCAATATTCTAGTTAATATTCTGTAGATCACGCTCAACAGATATCTTTTCCTCATTAAGATACACATGGCATGAACAGTGGCTTAAAATTTCATGTGGATATTGCTTTAAATCACATGGGTGACATCAGTGGTGATCATGGCGACCTAGTGCAATGTATGCCCACATGACAATTTTTTAAGAATGAACGTGGCCCCAACTGACTGGTTTCTATGTTTACAATCATACATTATGTTAAAATTCAAAGCACAAAGATCATTCAATAAACATCACAGAGGTATTCAAGATTTTTCCATATCCATTGTGCAATGCACACATACTGTATTTCACATTATGTAGTGATTAAATTATTAATCAAAGATGTTTCTCCCTTTATCAAATCATCAGGATTCTGAATATTCTACGCAGAAGTAATGGAAACATATACTTTTGGATAACAAAAGCAAACTCAAAATCTGGGAGAGAAGGTATGGAATAACTGTCCATATTTTAGTTTTTTTGGAGATAAAAGACAACAAAAGGTCAAAGTTTAAAAACTTTCCTAAAATTTAATCAGCTAAACATTAATATTTTAGTAGAATATCTCCATTTTATTGTGATATTGTGTAATGCGAAGAGTGTGTGCATAGATATGTTTCTTCATTATTAAAGGACTTTGATAGGGTTGATCTCCTGTTCCCTTGCAGGATGTATTTCAAATAAATTGTTTCACTTTCTGCAGAAATGAGCCAACCAGTATTTCCTGTTGTTTCATTGTCTCTGTTATGTTTCGTTATGCTATGTTTGGTACCCCATGACAACCTTCATACTCCAATAATAGATGCAATAATGACCATAATTATCAATGTTCTCAAACTCTTCTTACCATTTTATGTGTGTTTGTTACGACAGTGAAAAGAAAATTTGGAAGCACAGGGTCGAATTTGCTAATAATGGCACCCACAACTTCTCGGCCTATACTCATAGAGCGTTTTTGCGGTGAGTGTTTTAAGAATTTGTTTCACAAGTCAGTATATGTTAACTAAGGGAATTTTGTATAATAATTGTAAAATTAATTTAACTCCCAAAATATGATTGTTGTCTCCTCTCCAGCTGCTACACATTTCCATGAAAATTAGTTATGAGATTTTGGTGTTACATCATGATAATAACTTCTACCTGATAAGTCTGAGTATTTTCATTACCTGTTTACTGGACAGTTATAATTTCCCATACCATTATCAGGCACTAGTATTATTACCTTCACACCACAGCTTAACCCAGTACAAAAAAGAATCTTGGTGTAAATTTGGTATGTTGCTTTACTACATATTTTTGGCTGCTTTTTAAGAGTAAATATCACAGGTTAATATTGATCTGATTTGACTTTAAGATGGCTGAAAACAGAATTCTTTCACTTTTGACTGTTATGACTAGGAGACAACCTACAATTAGCACGAGAAGAAGATGTGGTGGATGCTATGAAAAGGGCAGCAGATGCTGTGGATGCATTCACCAGGGAATGGTAAGAGGTCTTTTATATTTGATACGATAAAGGTAGAAATATTTCCAACTTGTTACTCATTAGCAACCTTATGATCGTAATGAAAATTTCCATAAACATATATAGCATCAGATACTAAGCTGTAATCATGTTAAATAATGTCTTGTTTACAACTTCCTATTCTAAAAACCCAGGTATATCTGTATAATATGCATATGTTTTGATTATCCAGGCTGATGTACATTTGTAGCACCAAATCAAGGTGAATGCTGATGAGATACACAAGTTGAAAAGAATGATTCATCTCACACAAAATTTAATTATTAGGGAGGAGGAGGGCGGTTAAAATCGATCAAAATTGCAAGGATGTTATTCATGATCTTTCTATATTAACCAGCCTCCTGCCATTAAGCATGAACTTACAAGAAAATCAAAAGAGGGCAGTACTAACACCAGGGTATCAGCTGTGACACAAACTAAATTATGAGTATTTGACATAGAAATTTCATTGCAAAAGGCAATCGAGAATGACAAGAAGAAATTGGTAAATATCATTTCCCAAAAAATTTTATTGCAAAGATAATGCCCATATCAATGATATCAAGAAAGTCCAGCAATGAAATAAGGATCTTTGTTAGATGACTTCCTTCAAGACTCTAGGAGCATAAATAATACTTATTACCAATAAACTACTAAGCAGCAGAAATTTCAATACCTTTTATACATTTTCAGCGAAATATTAATTGAGTTGTCATGTATTTATTATGTCAGATTAAAAAATCAAGCAAGAAAATAAGGGAGGCCCGACAAGGCAGGGTTACCCAACCCAGTCTAGAAGGAGAGAAGGTGACAATTTTCCTATGCCACTTAAATGGCAAGGAAAAGCGCCAGTTCAATAAGGGTGCTTTCTTCCAGGTATATATATATATATATATATATATATATATATATATATATAATGATACAGTTTGTTGCTTTAAAAAGTACTTCTTCTAAAATGCAGACATATAGTGATTGCCTGATCATTTTTTTTTTTAATGTAAACTTTTTTCCTGTTTTAATAACATAGGAAGTATATGACTGGGCAGGCTCCAATGAATGTCTACCACTTTATTTTACTATCCAAAGAGGTAGGGAAGTGGTAAGACATGGAGACCTTTTGGAGAGAACAGAGGTCTTGCACATTTACGAGAGAGTAAGTAAACAATAATATTACATAAAACAAATTATAACAGTACTAGAAACCTGGAATTCAAGTCTAAAATATACTTGTGTTATTTTAAGAAGGTAAATGTTTGAATTTAAATTTCAAAATACCCTTTCAAGCATGATTTCTAACTCTAAGCAAAAATATGACAACTGATGGGCTAAAACCTGGCAGTTCTTAGCACACAAAATCACTCATTGTTTGCATATCCACCAATTTACCTGCGCAAGATTTAAAAGTCACTATGGTAAAATGTTCAAACAGCCACCCTGTTAAATACCTTAAACTGTGGAATTTAAGTATCAAACCTTGTCTTGATTCTGTTAACATGTTGTTTTTATCCTTTTTATCGAGGATGAGGCAGAAATTGAATCACTTCTGGGATCAAAGGTTAGGAAAAAATAATTACATTCAGTAAAATTATCTATGCAACATAAGTAAAGTGCATGCTTGGATTGGCCAATTTACAGTAAATTATCTGCCTATAGGTGTATGCTGATATGAAGCAACATGGCACAAGTGATCAACACAGAAAAAAAGAAAGTGTATCATTGAAAAAGTAAATCAAGCAATTAGAATCACCACTTCAGTCTTTTTTGCCTGGCAATTTACTGCTTGTATCCACAACTGCTGGTGTACACTACTTGTAATGGATAAAACTACTGATGATTCTTTTTTTATAAAATTGTTTCAAAATTATCTCTGTCACCTGTTAGAAGATTTATTTTTTCATTTATTTTTAAGAGCTTATGTCTCAAATGCTGCAGAATTAATCAATCAATCAATCAATCCAATTAGGCATATATGTAATTCTACCTTTTTCAACCCAGTGTAATGTTTTCAATTAGGTCATTACTCTTTTTGACAATCCATTTTGTATGCCCAGGTTAACAGTTTGGGTTATGAGCTAGTTTTATTCATAGGGTTAAGCATTAATTTTGAAGTTGCTAATGGTGAGGAAATCAGACTTGTTACTTCTGGGTCAGTTAATGGCCTTCCTTATTTTTACCACAGGTGACATTCCAAGGAAATGTCCCAGATTTGCAGTCTGATGGCGAACTGTCATCCACACTACCAGGTGATGAATACAAATATTACATCAAAAAATAATTAAAAGAAAATGAAAAAACAGTTTGAAGAATAAAAATGAAGTACCTTCAAATGACACTGGACAAAAGGAAGCAAAGTATGAAGACATGTAACTAAGATCATGATGAAGTATATTGAGACCAGGCAAGAAAAGCAGGCTCAGTCTTAACATATATTGGAATAGGAAAATTTGGAAGACTTTCACAAGAGTATCAAAATTTAAGCTTACATCAAACTCAATACCTTACTTACAGTCATGCCTACTTTGTTGAAAGGGTGGAATTAGCTTCCTTGAGTGATAGCTCCGTGATTCAATAGAGCAGGGACCCTTTGTCTTAATTCTTGCTTTGCACTGAACAATAAGAACATTTAGAAGTATATTATACAGTAAATATACACATTTTATGGCAACAACTTAAAACTTTTATATATTTTGATGATGAACGAGAAGCATAGAAACCAAAAAAAAGTCACTGATGTACATGTTGTTAGTGTTATGGGGAACATGTTATGATTTGGAAATAAAAGTTAATGTTGCACATGCAATATTGAAGACTTCCAAAAGAGAGCAAAAATTTATGCCCATGTTTACTTTACTGAAAGGTGCAGAATAAGGGTCCTTGGGTGAGAGCGCAGTGATTAAATAGAGCAGAGACCCTTTGGCTAATTCTTGCCATGCACTGAACAGAAAGCAAAGTTAGAAGTTCATTACAATATATATATATATATATATATATATATATATATATATATATATTTATAGATAGATAGATACACTTATGGCAACAAGTTAACACTTGTTTATGTTTTTGATGATGACCAATAAGCACGGAACCCAAAAAATTCAGTAACTGATGTATACGTTGTTAGTGTTATGCAGTACTAGTTATCATTTGAAATTAAAAGTTAATGTTGCACATGCTGTATGGCCTGGTTTACTTGTGTCAACTATTACGTATGTAATGATATACGCTTCCCGTGTGAAGGACTTTGTTCTCTCTCTTGAACATTTTCTTGTTGTTGTTGGGTTTTTTTTTAGGAAAATTCTAATTTTAAAGAAACTGTTCACCTTGAGACTTATGGGTGTTAAGCTCACTGAAGATTAACCACACATACCATGTAATTAAAGGAGTACTTTAGTTCCTTAACTGTTTATCAGACTGAATTTAAGACTCTTATCCTCTCCGCTTCTATGGGTCGTACTACATTTTCCTTTGCTCTGCATTGACCGATGTTAAGCCCAGTACAAGTACCTAAAACAATTGAATACAATAAATAATATAAGCTTAACTGCTTTGTACCTGCGATGTACACTCCATTTTCGGCGGGTAAAACTTTTGGAAACCAAGAAACGAAAATTATCCTCTGTGCTCTCTCGCATTCCATCTATTCATCTCCCATTCACAACTTGTTTGCGGTTTCTTTTGGCATGAAATCACAGAAGCACCTAATGCAGCTTGTTCAATCGCTGAGCAATCAATGCGCCTGCAATCATTTGCTCAGTGGATTCTACCCATACCGATACAACCCTTCCGGGACCCTGGGCCCTCTCGAATAAGTAAATTACGTTTGACGCCTGGTGCATTCCTTCCTTCCTTTCTCTCTATTTTTTCTCCCTACTTACCTCTCCTCCGTTCTTTTTTCTTTTTTTTTCTCGATACGAGCCTCGATTAAAGAAACGAGGCTCGATTGAAAAATGGAGGTTCGATTGGAAAATGGAGGCTCGATTGGAAAATGGGGGCTCGATTGGAAAATCGAGGCTCGATTGAAAAATGGAGGCTCGATTGCGTAATCGAGCCTCGTTTGTCGCAGAGTGGCAAAACGAGGTATCGTGGTCGTTTTAGATCGAGAGTTTTTGGTCTGGTTTACCAGAAACCTTGAATGATCCCATATTCCCTCTGTTTTCAGCTGGTGCATCAAATTTCATTTGTCACGCAATAAGCATGCTGACTGTATTTGCGTTGTGGAAACTAATTCAGGATACCTTTAGCTGGGGAATCTGAGGTCTGCAGAAATAATCTATTTAAAAAACATGGACTACCCATACATAAGTGCATTTCTCTATATGTTGCATAGGAATAATTTCTCAGCAGGGTTAGAAAGTGGTTTACTACGGTAATCCATGTATCAGAGTGTCTGAGAAGGAAAATGTTGTATTATTTCTCGGATTTCTTCGACAATTTTTACAAACAGAATTCCAACCTAGAGTTGATTTGAAAATGTATCTTAACAGGTGGACTACACAAACAAGCTATTTTAATTACAGTGACAGTGGTAGAAATCTATTGAAAGCAACCGAGAAAAAACATCGAATGTATATACACGCGGTTCATGCACAAGGGAGTATTTTCTTGCGACAACTACATGTTTCGAATATTTTATGTGTGCTAAGATTTTATTTAACTCACGCTCACGTATTAACAACAACATTTATAGTTATGTGTAATTTACTCTAGAGTTATGCCAGTGGGATAGATTGTAAATTTAAGAACAATATAAGCGACAGGCCAATTTCAGCTAAAAACACGTCGACAGAGCTGGTATCTTTGTAAACAACGATTTGTTTATTTAGCATTCGAGAAAAATAAACTCAGAAACTTTACCTAAAACGGAGCTTTATTCACTTAAAAATAAAGGTAAAGTAATTTTAAAGTGAAAATTGATATATTTAAATGAATCAAAACAGAAGTAGAGACCGAACACGTCGAGTTTTGTCCCAATAGCGTGTGATTTGCGGCAGGAGTACAGCAAGAAAATGGCAGAACTCCATGAAAATGCACGCTTTTTATTTTGGTCTGGCGCGCTCGCTTTAGTTCGTTATATTAGTATTAGTTCCTGTGATAGGCTTTTATCTAAATTAACACCAAGATCACAAAATCTCTTAGTTAGTTCAATGAGGTGTCTTGGTGAACCGGGGTGTAAACAGTATAACCTTAGTTTTTTCAGCATTACTTCTTAACATGTTTTGTGTGTTCCATGGTATTAAATCCTCTATACAATTTCGGATGGCAGTCAGAGGTAGAGCCTGATTTGTAAGATCAATGGTTGAGTGTAATCTGCATAAACAAAGAATTCAAGTTATGGCAAGCAATTACATCTTGAAGAGGGACGATATATAGGGCGAAAAGTAATGGTACAAGTACATACCCCTGTGGGACACCATAACGCAGGGCATAAGGAGTGGAAACTTGATCTCCAATAGCTATTAATTGCCGACGGTTTTCAAGGTAAGATCTGAACCAGCACAGAGCCAGTTTTGAGAAACCAAAGTAAGACTCGAGTCTTTCCACCAAGATCGTATGGTCAATGGTGTCTAAGGCCGCTGATAAATCGAGTAGTACTAAGACATCATCTTGGGGACAGTCAATCGTTCTAAGAATATCGTTTGTCACATGTAGCAAGGTCGTTTCCGTAGAATGGTGTTTCCTATTGGCAGACTGTATAGTTGGCATCAAATTGTAAGCTTCTAGGTAGTTGTACGTTTGTGTTGCGACAACCTTTTCGATTACTTTGCTAAAGAACGGAATATTAGCAACAGGTCCGTATTTTTTAAGAATCTCCTTGTCGAAGTTATCCTTTTTCAGACGGGGCGTACGTGTGATAACTTCAAGACTGAAGGAAACTCTCCCGTCGTCAGTGACTGATTTACGATGTTAGGTATCATGGGAGATAATAGATGTACGAAATTCTTTATTACAATGGTGGAAAGTGGGTCAAGAGAACATGTTTTTGTGGAAAGAGACTGAATAATGTTCTTAACGCTAGAGCAGGACACAGGCGTCATCGTAAATTCGTGAGTCAAAATCCGACGCTGAGGTTGCACTGAGTGGTCGACTGCATCCTGGAGTTTGTCTCTAATGGATTGGATCTTCCTCATAAAGAAGTCGTTGAAATCTTCGATCAGTACGTCCAAA